CCCCAAAACCCCAAAACCCCAAAACCCCAAAACCCCATATTTTAAGAAGAATATTGAAATAAAAAAGATGAGAAAGCACATAGAGATCGATGATTCAGTAAGAACACTTTCTAAATTAAAGTTTAAGTGTGATATAGGAGTCGATATTTGAGAGAGATCCAGCACAAAGCCAGACCATGAATGGCTTCATGAGAAAGTAATCATTCCTTTGGGTTATAAAATTTTATTAGATTTGTAAACGGTTTCATTTTTGATGAATAAAATGAAATAAAAGTTCCATATAATGCTACTTAACCTGCTAATTTTTAGAGCAAATTAAATCGTAAAAAAGAACTTCTGAATGCTTCTCAGCCTAGATTTTAAATATTTCAACTATTAAATAACATTTTATTCTGCATTTCCAAGTTAGTAGGTATCCACTCAGAATTTAAGTTATCAGGAATTAAATAACCGAAATGTAGAAAGACTCACAGAAGGCATGAATCGATGGTTGATAGATTTCCCGAGTTGACAAATCTTCAGACAAATAATATGAACCAAAATCATGAAAGGATGAGCTCAATAAATTTCAGGAATATAAAGGGCCAGGCATCTCCTCGAATTCAGCCTACTTTTTGTAAAACAAAGAAGCTGGAAACCCTCAGGCTACATGCAAGTAAGATTTGGTTATGACTAATTATTAAGACCGCTCGGTGAAAGAGCCTCTCAATAAAGAATATGGTACCCCACTGAACAAACAAAGATTCACGACTAGATGGGCTCAGGACCCAAAATATATAGGCATTCTTCAAAATTTAAAGTTCAAAAGATCTGCTAAAAAGTAAATTTCTTGAATAAAAAATAGGATCAATTTTCTGAAAAAGAAAAGGAATAAAAATACAGTAGTTAATCCTCTTCTTCAAGCTCAAGAGGATTACTTAAAAGAAGCTTCTCAAAGAGGTGAGACTATGAGAAATATTCCTTCTGCATTGGTAGATACAGAGAAGGGTATAATTCCTAATATGACTCAAAGAGAAATAAGTCATCCCTGCCAAGCTCCAAGAAAGCATCATATCATGGGTATTAAGTCAAAGAATGCCAGTAAGATTTGCATAGAGATTTTTAGAACTGGACTGAATGAAGATTTCTCCTACATCTTCCCTTCAGACAAGATATCAGCTAGCATTCAAGCATGAGCCTATCAAAGATGAAGTTGAAAATGACAGGACTTATTACAGAAGGAGAGATGAGATGGCAGAGTTCAATGAATCATATGTTAAGGTTAAAGGCATGACTAGGCTTATTGTCAAGCCCAGTCTTTTGAAATAAGTAGAAAACAAGGCAATATTTGTCATCAGGATTAATAGATTAGTAATTCAACCTTTATTACCAATGTTGGGGTTTTGGGGTTTTGGGGTTTTGGGGTTTTGGGGTTTTGGGG